GGATAAAGAAGATAAACATTTAAGATAAACAGCACTTTTTGAGAGCACTTCAGTATTCATTCCCTCTCAGCTATGAGTATTGTCTCAGGTATTGAAAGCACGTCCAGAAGTCAGTTTTGCTTTGGTCTGGCTTACTGTACATTCTCCCTTCCCCTGCATGTTCTTATGAATGGAGACCCTTCAGCTGATGCCTCTTTATACCTCCTTTGTGAGTGAGGAGATACCTCAGTAACAGTGCTGATCGTGGCAGTTTCGTAACAGACGTGGCTTGTGTTGGGACCAACGTGTGAAGTTATAAATGCTGACTTTGCTGGGCCTTGTTCTGGGATAGACAGGAAATAACCTGGGGAAAGTAAATGCAGCCCATGGAAAAGGCTTCCTTTGGTGAAGGATAAGCTGAATTCTCAGATCAGGACGTTGGCAGTGGGGAAGAGGACCAAGTGTCTGAAGCACAGACAAAGCTGTACTGAGAAGGGGATGCAATCCAGTTTCTACCACACCTTGTTCTGGTTGGCTTGACCAGAGGCAGATGTTACACCTGATTTTACATTCTGCTGTGATCTGACACTTGTTTTGGTTTTTTAAAGGTGCAGCTTCATATCCTACTCATGTTTGAGGGGTGTTTATATTTGTAGCATTTATATTTCTCCTGTGAAGCAGGAGAATGTGCCTTAAAAACGTCATTAAAAATGCTGTCTTCAACCCCTGTAGCTTTTAGAGATATCAGAAAAACAATAATGATACTTCTCAGAAAATAGATAGTCCAACTCCTCTAAAGGAAGTTTTCTAAATTCTCAACAGTACAGAGCTCTATCTCTATCAGATTGTCACTGTAATAATGAATGAAATTTTTGGTCCAATTAACCCACCATCTTTTACTGACTTCTGGTTCAGAGGGAGGTTAAAAAAAAAGAACATCAAGCCATTTGCATTTTCAAAGCACTTTTATGATGCAAGGTCAGGCTATACACCTTGAAGATACTGACTCTGATTTTCTTTTTATTTTTTCATTAATACCTGGTCATTGTATTTAGTATTGTGATCTTCGTAATGTAATTACCCACTTTGGGAAGAAAGAGACCATCTGATCTTCTTTAATGCCATTTATTTCTGAGGAAAAGCTAGAAGCTGTTGCTTTTTATGTTTCTAGGCAGTGAAGAAAGAAGGATTTGGTTTTAGTTTTTTTTTTTTTTAAATTATTTTTTATTCCTTCCTCCCATCTTTCTGAGTGAAGTAGCTCCTTTTTTTCCTCCTATTTCCTATGATACCTCAGACCTTCCCTTCCCATCTCACCCCGCCCCCCCCAATTTGAAATTCCTTTTCAAGTATCTCATTACACTTTTACTTCTACTTGCAGGATTATCTAACTGATCTGATTACCAATGACAGTATTACCTT